TTTTAGACAGATCATCCAGATAGAAAATCAATAAGAAAATATCAAACTTAAACTATACTCTAGACCAACTGGACCTAAACAGACAAATACAGAACATGTTATCCAACAGACACAACACACATTATTCTCTATTGCACACAGAATATTCTCCAGGATAGATCATATATTAAGCCATAAAACAAGTCTTAGCAAATTTAAGATTGTAATTGTATCAAGTATTTTCTCTGACCACAATGGTGTAAAACTAGAAATCAATTATAGAACTTCAGAAAATTCACAAGTACATGGAAATTAAATGACATGCTCCTGAACAACCAATGGGTACATTAATAAATTAGAAGGAAAATTTAAAAATTTCTTGAGACAAACAGAAATGGACACATATCCCATAACAAAACGTATAGGATTCAGCAAAAGCAGTTCTAAGAGGGAAATTTATAGTAATAAACACATACATCAAAAAAGAAGAAAGATCTCAAATAAGCAACCCAATTTTGCACCATAAGAAACTAGAAAAACAAGAACAAACTAAGCCCAAAATTAATAGAAGGAAGGAAATAATAAATATTAGAGTAGAAATAAATGAAACAGAGACTAGAAAAATAACAGAAAAGATTAAGGAAATGAAGGATTGGTGTTTTGAAAAGATAAAATTGATAAACCATTAGCTAAACTAACAAAAAAAGGGAGAAGACATAAAATCAGAAAGGAAAAAGGATACATTACAACAGCTATCAAAGACATACGAAGGATCATGAGACTATTGTAAACGATTACATGCCGACAAATTGGATAACCTAAAAGAGAATTCCTAGACACATATAACATATCAAGACTGAATTATGACAAAATAGAAAATCTGAGAAGAGGAGTAAGTAGTAAGGAGATTCAAGTGGTAAATAAAAAGTCTCCCATCAATGAAAAGCCCAGGACCTGATGGCTTCACAGCTGAAATTTACCAAACATTTAAACTAATATCAGATCTTTTCACACTCTTCCAAAAAGTTGAAGAGGAAGGAATATAGCCAAATTCATTTTATGAGGCCAGCTTTACCCTGATCACATTACAAAACAATGTAAGAAAAGAAAACTATAGGGCAATATCCCCAATGAACATAGAGGCAAATATCCTCAACAAAATACTAGCGAACCAAATGCAACACTACAGTAAAAAGGGCATACGCTATGATCAAGTGTTACTTATTCCTGGGATTCAAGGATGGTTCAGCATATACAAATCAATAAATGTGATACATCACATTAACAGAAAAAAAAAGATAAAAATCATAGGATCACCTCAATAGTTGCAGTAAAATCATTTGACAAAATTCAACACCCTTTTATGATAAAAACATTCAACAATCTAGGTATAGCAGGAATGCACCTCAACATAATAAAAGCCATTTATGAAAAATCCACAGCTGACATCATATTCAATGGTGAAAAAGTTCCTCTAAGCTCAAGAACAAGACAAGAATATCTCCTCACAGCACTTCTATTAATATTTAATATATGCTAGAAGTCCTAGCCTGAGCAATTAGGCAAGAGAAAAAAATAAAAGGCATCCAAATTACAAAGGAAGAAGTTACACTGTTCCTGTTTGCAGATGACATGATCTTATATAGAGCAAACCCTAAAGACTCCTCCAAAAAAGTATTAGAGTAAACAAATTCAGTAAAGTTGCAGGATATAAAATCAACATATAAAAATCAGTAGCATTTCTATACACTAATAACAAACTATGTGAAAAACATGTCAAGACAATAATCCTATTTACAATAGCTACCAAAAAAATAGTAATAAATTTAACCAAGGAGGTGAAAGATCTCTACACTGAAAACTATAAAACACTGCTGAAAGAAATTGAAGATGACACAAATAAATGGAAAGATATTCCATGTTTAGGAATTGGAAAAACTGATATTGTTAAAATGTTCATACTATCCAAAGTGAGCTACAAATTCAGGGCAATCCTTATCAAAATACCAGTTTCATTCTTCACAGAAATAGAACAATCTTAAAATTTGTATGGAACCACAAAAGACCCTGAATAGCCAAAGTGATCTTGAGCAAAGAGAAAAGACTGGTGGCATCACACTTCCTGATTTCAAAATATACTACAAAGATATAGTAACCAAAGGAGCATGGTACTGGAATAAAAACAGACACATTGACCAATGGAACAGAGTAAACAGCCCGAAAATAAATTCACACATTTACAGCCAACTAATTTTTGACAAAAGTGCCAAGAACACACAATGGAAAAAAGTCCCTTCAAAAACTTCTGTTGGGAAAACATGGATATTCACATGGAGAAGAATGAAATTACACCCTTATCTCACGATATACAAAAATCAACTCAAATCTATTAAACACTTAAATATAAGACCTGAAACTATGAAACTACCAGAAGAAAACATAGGGGAAAAACTCCATGACATTGTTCTGGGCAATGATTTTCTTAGCTATGACCTCAAAGGCATAGGCAACAAAAGCAAAAATAGACAAATGGGATTACATAAAACTAAAAGCCTTATGCACAGCAAAGGAAATAAGCAACCGAGCCAAGAGACAACCTACAGAATGGGAGAAAATATTTGCAAACTATCCATCTGATAAGGAGTTAATATCTAAAATATATAAGGAACTCAAACAACTCAATAGCAAGAAAACAAATAATTCAATTAAAAGATGGGCAAAAAAACCCTGAATAAACTTTTCTCAACAGAAGATATATAAATTGCCAACAGGTATATAAAAAATGCTCAATATCACTAATCATCAGAGGGATGTAAATCAAAACCACAATGAGATATAACCTCACTCCTGTTAGAATGGCTATTATCAAAAGGAGAAAAGATAAGGATGTGGAGAAAAGGGAACCCTTGTACATTGCTGGTGGTAATGTAAACTAGTACAGCCATTATGGAAAACAGTATGGAGGTTCCTCAGAAAACTAAAAATGAAACTACCATATGACCTAGCAATCCCACTATTGGGTATATATCCAAATATATATTCAAAGGAAAGGAAATCAGTATGTTGAAAGAATATCTGCACTCCCATGTTTATTGCAGCACTATTCACAATAGCCAAGATATGGACTCAACCTAAATGTCACACAGGCACAAAAAGAGAAATACCACATGATCTCATGCAAATGTGGACTCTAAAAAAGTTGATCTCAAAAAAATAGAGAATAGAATAGAGTTACCAGAGGCTGAGGCAGTTGGGGTGAGTGTCGGAGAGACCGTGGTCAAAGGATTTATAATTAGTTAGGTAAGAGGAATAAGTTCATGAGCTCTGTTGTATAGCATAGTGACTAGCTAATGATGGAATACTGTATTCTTGAAAAGTGCTGAGAGGGATGTTAAGTGTTCTCACCACAAAAATGATAACTATGTGAGGTTATACATATGTTAATGGCTAAGATTTAACCATCCTACAATGTATACATACTTTAAAACATCATGTTGTACACAATAAATACATATGTAATTTTTATCTGTCAATATAAAAAATAAATAAATTGAAAAACAATTCAAAGGGGATTGTAGAGAACATTATGAAACAATACTCAGAATTAAGAGGACTAGAGAAATTTTTGAACGAGAAGATAATCCCCAGGCACTTGGCCTGCCAGGTGTTAGGACACAAAACTGCAGTAAGATCACATGGCATTGGTGCATGAGCAGAATGGCAGAACAATGAAACTAGATCCAATGCTTTACACGATCCCTAAATTACCCCATTCATCTTATTCCCATTTATAGATAGGGATTGAGAGTCAGAGCTGGTAAGAACTTGTCCCAAGGTTGTAACAGCTCAAGGTGACAGAGCTGAGATCCAAATATAGCAACCAAAGCCTTCCCACCCATTGAGGTAGTGTGCTGAGGGCCAAACTTCAGATACTCAGAACAATACTTTACAGTCTAAGGCGTAATTGGTTAAATTGGCAAAGTGGTAAGGATCAGACATTCCTCCACCCTCACCCCACACTGTCCCTGTCTTTCCTGAGCTAAGTAAACTCACTTGTCCCATTTTAATCTTTTGATGTCATTGCTCCTTAACGAATTGATGTGAGCTGTATACAGTTTTGCAAACAATTTTGAGGTAGGGATTTTATACTGGCACCGTGAGGCCCAGTCCTGGATCGAATAAGGCAAAGGGTTCCCAACATGGTCCATCATCAAAATTACCGAAGGAACTTTTAAAAACCATTATTGCTGGAACCTATCCCAGGCCAGCCTGAGAGTGTCTAGCGTTGGGATTTAGAAATCTATAAAAGCGTCCCAGGGAACTGGAGTATAGTATAGTCAGGCTTTGGAGCTAGGTCCTCAGGCGACTAATCCTTAACATTTATAATGCTTTTCATAAAAGGGTGTTCCTCCTTTGAAGTGACCACACAATACTATAAAAGCTATAGGCAGAATACAGTAGGAGAAAAAGGACTGTTTAACAAATTGAGAAAAAAATTCTCAACTGTGAGAAGTCCTGCACATACACTTCCCGATTATTTTATAATGCTGTAGCCATCACCGGCTTAGAAACAGACATATTTTGAATGTTTAATATGCAGCAGTTCACAGCTGATATAGTAGCCTTGGAAGAGGATATAAGATCTGAAAAGGGAGAATAGACTAGGTAAGTTAAAACTACAGCCTAGAGATCCTTTTACCTTGGTTTTGTCAGTTGATTGAGAGGCATTTCAGTGTCAATGTGGTGCAGAAATATTAGTTACATTATTATTGCTGTTTTTTAATTTTAGTTTTAAAATTGCTGCTGCCTTACGTAATTTGGTGTGATTCTAGAGAAAGCTGTGGTCCTTTCTCTGCAAAATTAAGCTGATGATGATGCAATTAGGTGTGAATTACACAGATAGAGCTCAGTGGCCTCTGGAACAAGGGCTTGTGATCACAGCCTTTCCTGACCCTTATTTTCTGTGACAGTTGGTGACTTTCAACCATTACAAGACCACAGAGGTTCTGCAGGGTACATACAATCTGTTGTGGCTCAGTTAAACTGGATTTGTGTCTCCAGGAAGACAGAACGCTTCAGTGTGGCTGAAATTGTTCAGTTTTGACATATATTCAGGAGTCCTTAAAAACAACAAAAAAGAAAAAACTAAATTGATAAATCTAAGAAGTGATTTTTAAAAAGAAAAAATCTAATAAACAAATTACTAAATCACTAATAAATTTACTCCAGGAAAAAAATGGAACAATATTTGAAAAAGGAACAAGATCAGCTAAAAATGTTCTATTCTAAGAAGCAAATATGATAATAATCTCTCCTCCTTTCTCCCACACACAGAAAACTGTGGTTCCATTTCATTTTAAAAATGGAAAGCTGTGATCTATTTTAAAAAATCTCATTATTTAGTGAAGGCAATACATTCACAAAAAGAAAATTAAGATTACTTATAATTTCTATTAAAATTCTCATTTTTGGAGTTTTTCCTTTCAGATTTTTCACATATGCATTCATGTTTGGGTAAGTATACAGTTTAGTAACCTGTACTTTGACTTAGTTTTTTCGCTGCATATCACAGGCCCCCAAATCATGATTTTTGATGGTTATGTAATGTCCTGTTCAGTTAATGTGTCATGATTTTCTTAGCTACTACCCTGCTGTTACACATTCAGGTTGTTTCCCAATTGGTTCTTATTTTAGATCATCCTGTTTGGAATATGTGTCCGCATATGGCTTTTTTTTTTTTTTCCTTGTTTATTTCTTCCATTGCAGGTAAATTCCCAGGAGTGGGGTTTCTGGGTCACAGCTTCCAATTTCTGAATGCATCACCAGATTGCTTTACAAAAGGTTTGTAGTGCTTCAAAACGTCCCCAGTGGGGTGTGAATAGGAAAAAGGATAAGGCATAGACACCAAGGGCCAATTTTACATAGCTGGTTAAAGTTAATCTTTGCAACAAATCCTGGAAGTAGGTATCATTTCCTCCATTTTATGAATGAACAAAAGGAGGGTTAGGAATTTAGGTGACCTGTCCAAAGTCACAAAGTTGACTACAAAACCATCTTTCTTAACCCAAAGCCTTAGGCCGGCGCGGTGGCTCACGCCTGTAATCCTAGCACTCTGGGAGGCCGAGGTGGGCGGATTGCTCCAGGTTGGGAGTTCGAAACCAGCCTGAGCGAGACCCCCGTCTCTACTAAAAATAGAAAGAAATTAATTGACCAACTAAAAATATATATACAAAAAATTAGCCGGGCATGGTGGCACATGCCTGTAGTCCCAGCTACTTGGGAGGCTCTGAGGCAGGAGGATGGCTTGAGCCCAGGAGTTTGAGGTTGCTGTGAGCTAGGCTGACGCCATGGCACTCACTCACTCTAGCCTGGGCAACAAAGTGAGACCCTGTCTCAAAAAAAACCACAAAAAAAAACAAACCCAAAGCCCTGCCACTTCCCTGGACATCTGAATATGCCAAGTTTTGGGCAACCTTCCAACAGGGGTTGCTGTTAGTATGATCGTTGTTTTATTAAATTATAGACCTAAAATGATAACCCAAAATTGTTCTAATTTACATTTCATTCTGCAAATGATTCATCACTTCACCATTTATTATAATCTTAATAATTTCCTTTCGCAAGTATGAAAAACTTGGGTCAGATACAAATAATATACAAATCACACCCTAGCTCTCTGCTCTCTTTCCCTTTCAGGCTAGCTCTTTTTCATTGTAAGAGCTTCTCAGTATTTGTGCAGGTAAAATTGTTCTTTTTCATGGGTGATTTTTTTCTTTCTTCTTCAAATCTAAAAGAGTTGTTAATCTTTCCAGAGGCCTCACATTTTCATTCCATTTTTTGTTCCCATTTTTTTCTGATAATTAGATTTTTTAAATCTTTAGTCATATTCTACGTGGAGTTGTTTTTCTTAAGGAAAAGTGAAACATCTCAAATGTCGTGCATGTGGGGAACTGCTTATTAAACCGTGATGCTCTAAGCACAAGAAAATAACGCAGCCATGGAGACCATCACGGTTACAGCGGTGAAATTGCACTGCGTCGTGTATGAATCTGGAGGCGACGACACCAAAACAGAAGCCTGTGGCTCTGCGATGGTGATGGGTGTAACGGTGGTTAATTACACGGTAAAAAATATTTGCTACAGCTATTACAAAGAGAAAAGGAAAAAAATCCTTAAAAAGGACAGTGAAAATGGATTTATCCCCATTGTTTAATAATGAAACGGGAACACGCCTGCCGCACAGCTGGACAGGCTGGTTCCCCGAGGGGGCCCTGATGGCCAGGTTCTCGGTCGCACCTGCGGCCGCTCTGGGGGGTCTTCGGCCGCCCGGGCGGCGCGAACGGGGGGCGGGGCCTCCCCGAGACCCCTCCCCGCCGAGGCCGGAGGCCCCGCCCACGCCCCCTGGTGTTCCGCGGGTGGCGAGAGGGCCCCGCTGCCTCCCCCAGGGCTGCTCCAGCCGCGGGGACCAAGGGCGGGGCCGCCTCCAGGGAGGAGCTCGGCGGCCGCGGGAGGCCCCCAGGGGTCCTGGAACTCCTTCCCCGCCGCAGCCCGGCCGCGGGCTGGTACCTGCCTAGCCATCCCCCAGGCACCCGCTGGGCATCCGGAGGCGCCCGGCCTTGCCAAAGGGCGTCCCGGCCCCTGGCCCCCGCCTCTGCGCGCCGGCTCCTAGGGGCAGCCAACCTGCGGGGACCCGGAGCCCTGCGTCCCCCAGGAGCCCCTCGTCCGCTCTCCCCGCCCAGCGCCCCAGCCACGCCCGTCGGCGGCCCTCCTGGAGTGTCCCGGCCGCCGGCGATCGCCCCCACTTTCCCGCACCTGCGGCCGTGGGGCCGCGCGACTCGCCATCCCGCACCCACGCGGGGAAGAGGGAGCGATTAGACGCCTCCGCCACCGACACCCCTCGGAGGGGCCCCACCAGCTCCCCCCAACCCCCACTCCGAACAAACGGGGGCTTTCATAAGCCGAAAACCCAAGCCAAGCAGCGTCATCCGAGAAGGGACCGGCACACGGGGCAGGCCCGACCGCGCCACGCGCCCCCAGCCCCTCCTCAGCGCCCAGGTCCGACCCCGCCCGGCCGTGCGCCCCGCGCCCCGGCTCTCCCTCGGCCTCCGCGGCTGCCCCGCCGCACCCCAGTTCTCGGACTCCTGCCCCCGCGCACGCCCCCCGCTGCGCTTACCGGCTCGGTCGGGAGCCGGGGAGAAGCAGCTCGCCGCGCCGCGGCTGTCAGCGACTGGGGCCCGGAGCTGACGCGCGCCGGGAGGAGGGGCCGGGCGGGCGGGGGCCGGGGGCGGAGGCGTTCGCGGGCGAGGTCGCCGGGGACCAATTACCGCCGGCCTCGCGCACTCGCGGGCGCCTCCGGCGAGCCGCCGCCGCGGCGTACGTTGGGGGTGCAGCGCTGCCAGGCAGGGCCCGGAATGAGTCACCCGAGAAACGAGTCGAGATTCGCTTAAACACTGGCATCGGTTGATGCCTCCTCCGGGTGCCATCGCTCCCCGACATTGCTCATTGATTATAAAAACCATCTTTAATTAGAAATTCGGTCCAAAGCCCCAAATCCCCATTACATAATGGAGAACTCGAGAAAATGAATGGTTAGGGAATGCGAAAGCAATCTCTGGAACTTTGGTAACCAGAAATTTCTAAAGAGGAAAAAAACAACTGCTCACCCTGGATTGAGCCCAATAATTATGAATTGTCACATAAACCCTTAGAATTTGAGGTCTGGAAAGGGCACATCCGTCCCTTCATTTATTCACTTTCTTGCTCCTTACTTTACGCATTCATTCGCTTGCTCCTTATTTTACGCAAAAGAGATGATATCGATTTTGATATTGACGAATAGCATGCGCTACGTGTAACGAGCCCTCCCATCACCCGAGGTATCGTGCAGGAAGCAGGCGTGTTCTCGCTCCTGATTCCTGCGGAGATGTTAGGTAGGGGCTTGTTTTATTTAAAGGAGGGCCGCGGATGAAGTGATGGAAGGACAGGAGGTGGAGTTACCGCGACCACCGTATAAATTATTACCCCAATTGGGTCGCTTTTGAGAGTGAAAGGGACGTACGCTAAGCCTGTCTTGGGGAAAAGAGCTGTTTAGCGCCCTCGCTGTGGGCTCTGAGATGCTTACGGGGCACGTAAGGAAAGAGGTTTAGAATGTTGACGCCCCCACTGGAAACAGGATTTGGATTGAATATTTGTGTTTCAAGGCGGATCACTAAGCGGGAGGGGACAAGAGGTGGTGGTGAGCGAGGGAGGAGCCAGGAGAATGCACAGCGCAGAGCCAGGTGCGACAGCGCGGGGGCTGTCAGTGTGCAGCCGCGGGCGCGGGAGGGGCGGCGAGGGGGCTGGAGGCCGTGGCCTTTGGACGCAGCTGATTCGGTAGAACTGGGAGGGCTGGCCTTGAAATCTTTTAAAGCGTGAAAATATGTCGAAGGTGTATTAACTTTGTAAATAGGACCACTTCTTTTTTTTGTCTTAGTGTATTTTATTGTACGCTAATTCTTAAGTGAACAATTTGTCATTGATATACATGATTACTTTCTTGCAAGTGAAATACTGAAGTAGCCAAAACATTTCATTCTCTGAAAATGTAAGATGACATACGTATTAATACAAGACATTTTCCTCTTACTCTCTCCATCTTTCCCACTCCCCTACCCTTCCATCCAATCCTTTAAAGCCCTGTTCTTTAAAGTGGTGAGCTTCTGACCACTGCACCAGGATCATCGTGGATCCTTATCTCACGTCCAGAAGCCATTTCCTAGCCTCAATGGGCTGGCACACAACAGAAGTGCGGGAATGGGCAAAAGCATTCACCATGGCTTCCTGGTCTGGAAAGCTAATTCTTAGCATCTACTCTTTTTGTAAAAGAGAACATTCTTGTTTGGGGAAAATACTCAAATCATATTTTCCTCTGCTGTCACACCACAACACAGCAATCATCAACACAGGAGACTTTCTGTGACCCCAAAATCTGTGGGGATTTCTCCCCACCAGCAAGCAAGCAATCAGTTCTGCAGCAAACACCAGCTGAGTGTACTCCAATTCAATTCCAACACTATCTTCCTGAGATAGTGTGAGATCCTACAGGTTGAGGGCTCTGTCCCCAAAATTGCTCCCCTATCCCTGACTTCAGACATCAGTTTCAAGTCTGGGCCCCTGGAATTTCTGACCGACTGGCTTCAACTTGGGGCTCCCACAACCCCCTCCTTGGGTTTGATTAATTTCCTGAAGCAGATCACAGAATTTAGGGAAACACGTTTACTATAAAGGATATTACAAAGGATACAGATGAAGGCGTGTGTAGGGCAAGGCATGGGGGAGGGGGGCACAGATCTTCCATGCCCTCCCCGGGCATGTCACCCTCCATGAACTTCCACATGTCCAGCTACCTGGAAGCTCTCCAAACCCTGTCCTCTTAGGTTTTTAATGGAGACTTTGTTGGATAGGCATCACTGAAGACAACCATGTTGCAATGTGATTGGACAAAAAGGGTATGATCTAATACTGACAGGCCAGGTGGGGAAACTCAGCAAGGCCTGTCTGTTCAGATTCTTCTTGGTCTCTCTGTGCAGCATTCCCTCCTCCATGGAGTGGGGCAGGAACCTGGCTGGAATGATAGGACCATTTCTTAATCAAAAAGGTTCACAAGGTTCACATTCTCAGATGCTGGGTTTGCAAGGCACGCCTCCACACAGGCCTTCCTGGGACTCCTACCACACTGCATCCTCCTGGGCCACCGCCCCCACCCTGTGCTTGACTGTTCTTCCTCAGGACGAAAGCAGCCACCCTCTGGGCTTCCTTCCTCAGCTGAGTCTCCGTTTTTTTGCTTTGAGTGTTGCCAACCAGGGGCAGCTTCCAGGCCTGCTGCCCTGACCACGTTGTTCTTGGTGTTCAAAACACTTATGATTGGTGTGTCACACGTTAAAATTCGCACTCTGCATCAACTTATATTCTCTATCTTGTTTCAGAAGCTTTGTTTACTTGTGGCGTTTTCTTGAGAGGCACACACAATTTTAATTGTTTCAATTTTCTGATGGACTGATATTTCTTTGAATGAGACTTCATGCCAAGACTGAGCTGAGAGCTGCGCTGGCCTTATATAAGTTATAATTGCTTGACTGGAACAACAGTAGAAATTACCCAAAAGACTTCAAATGAGGGACATCTGCATAAAAGTTAATAGCATATAGTGGAAGTGAAATTCAATGCCAAAATCAACAATATGAAAGTGTAAGTGGTTGGAGGTCATGTCAAAGCTCATAGGCAGTTGTGTTATTTTTAAAAATTTATTTTAATTTTTTTTATGTCAAAGTATCATGGGGTACAAATAATTTTGGTTACATGAATTGCTTTTATAATGCTTGAGTCATCGTTATAAGAGTGCCCATCATCCAGATATTGTTCATTGTTAGGTAGGTTTTTGTCCGTGTCCTCTCCCCCCTCCCTTCTGACTAATTTCCATTGAATTTTACTTCCTTCTATATACACGTGTGCTCATCAATTAGTTCCAATTTGACAGTGAGTACATATGGTGTTTGTTTTTCCATTTTTTACATACTTACTACAATGGTCTCCAGTTTCATCCAAATTGTTGTAAAAGGCATTAAGTCATCCTTCTTTATGGCTGAGTGATATTCCATAGTGTACATATACCACATTTTGTTAATTCACTCATGAATTGACGAGCACTTGGGTTGATTCCACATCTTTGCAATTGTGAATTGTGCTGCGATAAACATTCAAGTACAGGTGTCTTTTTGATAAAATGACCTCTTTTCCTTTGGGTAAATACCCAGTAGTGAGATTGCTGGATCAAATGGTAGGTTGACTTTTACTTCTTTGAGGAATCTCCATACTGTTTTCCATAGAAGTTGTGCTTATTTACAGTCCCACCAACAGTGTGTAAATGTTCCTTTCTCTCTGCATCCACACTAGCATCTATTGCTTTTGGAATTTTAAATAAAAGCTATTCTGACTGGGGTAAGGTGAAATCTCATTGTGGTTTTAATTTGCATTCCCCTGATGATTAGTGATGTTGAACATTTTTTTTTTCATGTTTATTGGCCATTTGTCTATCTTCTTTTATGTTCTTTATTTTTTTCTTTTTGTTGTATTGAATCAAGAAAGTGAGACAAACCAGGATTGTAAAATGCTGCCATTTGAAGCAATCTGAAAAATACTCTGAAAACTCTGGTTTCTATATTTGCTCATATTTTGCTTCTGATTTTTCTGCCAGGGAGAAGCACCTTGAGACTGAAAAGGGTGGAGTGAACACTGGGTGGGAGGGACCTGGAGGCACAAATGGGTCAGGGAGCGTCAGAAACTTTCATTTGTGCTAAATGCATTCGGGTCTCCAGACCTTGTGGATAATATCTTGGGGAAGAAACAACTCCTGTGTAAGAGTGGAGTGTCATACCTTCCTGCTCACACCTCAAATGCAAACTGCTGCCTTCTTAGAAATGGTCAAGATGGCACTATGTAACCCCAATTAAAACATAATATAAGATGGTGCTATGGTTTAAATGTGTCCCCTCCAAAATTCAGGTGTTGAAACTTAATGGCCAACATGATAGTATTAAGAGGTATGGCCTTTAAGAGATATTTAGGTCATTAGGGCTCCTTCTTTGTGAATGGAATTCAGGTCCTTAAAAAAGAGGCTTCCCACAGCAGCATTTGGCCCCCTTGCCCTTCTGCCTTCTGCCCCCTGAGGACACAGTGCTCCTCCCCTTCAGGGGTTGCAGCATCAAGACACCATCTTGGGAGCAGAGAGAAGCCCTCACCAGACACTGAACATGCTGGTGTCTTGATCTTGGACTTCCCAGCCTCCAGAACTGTGAGATATAAAATTTTGTCCTTTATAAATTACTTAATCTGTCGTGTTCTGTTATAGCAGCATAAAGGGGCTAAGACAGATTGTTTCAATCATTCTGGATGTTGAGAATTTGAGCTTATTTCTGAAAGTCTTAAAGCCTTGGTAGCAGAGGTGTGGAGGAATACCACAAATCAACGCGTGGGTTTATTCTTTTGCCAGTACCTCCACATCATAAAAAGTTTGAGTTAGAGTATTACACAGCATTGATGGCAAGGAAAAGAAACTCCACCCCAGCCTGGTCTGAGCAAAAGGCAACTTGTTAAAATGAAGCATTAGATGGCATCCACCACCCCCAGGGGACAGCCAGGCCTTGTCAACCTAAATGACAGAGAGAAGCTTTCTAAAAAAAAACGAAGTTTATT